AATCTTAGGAGTTGCTGTGATAAAGTGCTGACAAGTTATCTTTGTTCAGCTTAATGTTTACTAGATTGATAGATGCCTTCACCTGTCATATTTAGCTGTAGAGGTTATTCCTCTACTGTGAGACTTAAGGGCCTAGGGCTTGGCTGACACTGTTAAAAATGTCTCAACAGACAAGCTATTAGGAGATGAAAAGAAACACAGATATTCAGGGTTGTTAACTTATTTTTTTATGATTTCACCACTGGAAAAACTTCTATGTTATTTTTAAACAGGTTAACAGCAAATTGGCCAAACAGGCTTAAATGTGACATAAGCCACTGCAGCTACAGTCTGATTTCAAGGCCTCAGCCTTTGGAGCAAGTAAAGGCAAGTAATCAAAACTAATGACAGTTTTCATCCTTTAAGGCGAGGCAACATTAGGTAACACTGCAATATTTCTGCTTGGAAGTGGTTATGCATATTTCAAACTTCATATAATATTTGAGGAGGCAGGAGGGATATAAATAGACATGGCTGGGGCTCAGGGGAAGCAAACCCCACTACCGACTGCTTCTAGTTTGATCCCCGATGTCACTCTAAATTCCCACCGTGCTGCTATTATAACATGCACTAAGTTGCTCTCCTCGCCTTCACTGATGCCAGGACTTATATCTGGCTGCGTGGCGGTGACCTCGGGTTACCTCCTTCAGCTGATCCAGTTCCTGTCGGACCGTCTCGTAGTCCGTCTCCAACTCATCAAATCGCTGCTTGAGCTGCTGTTTCTCCTCCAGCACCGCCAGCCCATACTCAGCCGCCTGGATCTTCTCCTGGGTCGTTTCGCGAAGCTCCCGGGTCAGACGCTCCACTTCGGCTTGGAGCCACTGCGGCCCGGCTTCTGTCACCAGTACCGCCTCAGCATATTCCTGCTCCTCCATAGACATCTTGGCGAGCCGCCGACTCCCGACCGTAACGGGACCCAGCCCTGACTAGCGGGAGCAGCGGAGCAAACCACCAAGACCGCAAATCACTGCCTTCTTTGTTTGGGGCGCATTGTTGGGCTTAAACTGTGTTTAGTTTCCCGACCTTTCTCTCACTGCGGACCTCGACGGAGCTCAAACTGGAGAACAGTTTGCTCATTCTCGATATTTTTCTGCCTCTTCTTGAAGCTGACAGAGGAAACTTCAGTTGAGATCATCGATTAGAAAAAAACGCTCCCCCTACACGGCATTCAAATCAGCGTCACTACGAAGGGAAATGTAGTTTTCAGTGAGGCGCGCTACCTCAAGGACTCCTTGCTTCTGAAGCCACGTTGACTTCAAGTACCAGAATGCATTGCGTCTGCCGCGACATGACCCCGCAGTTTACTGAAACGCCATCTAGAGAATCAACTGTGAAACTGCAACTATAATTATTTATTAGGATCTTTATTAGAATTTATGGGTATTTTTGTTATACTCACTTGT